GTATTTGTATAAAGTTCAACATTTTATATGTTCTACAAATAAGATGCAGTAAATATTAATGCACATATACGAAAGTACCTTCATATGTACACGTACATGTACGTACAAGTATACATTGTACAGAGTACATGTACATGTACATGTACATGTACCGGTAGTCTATGACTAATCCCAATTTCTAACATCAAATTTGAGTTTTCTGGAAGGTACAGGTAATTAGACCATGTACACACTGTACCGCAAAAGACATTTACAGAAGGTTTACTTGAAAAATAGGCCTACAATTATGTACTGATGGGAAGGCTGCAAGTACTGTACATGTAATGCATTACTTTTATTTTGTTTTGTTTTTTTTCCCCCCTAGATTTTAGCACAACTTATTTTTAAGATAACTGACCTTTCCCTATGACTCTGCTGGGACTGAATAAAGTTCACTGCTTCATGTGCATGTGTATGTATGTCTGGCTGATCCACTTAAAAGTAGACCCAACTTTTCTGTCAATCATCACTATCCTGACTATGGTGTAACACAGTCTGACATGTCTGATATCGAAGCATATCACACATTTCCCCTCTTGGTTTGCCCTCTGATATTTCCAAACCCCTGCCCCCCCAACTGGTAATTAGCCATGCTCAATTTCCTCTCTGGTCATTTTGATGCCGGTCCAATCCTCTGCTGGCTCCCTATGTATGCGTGTGACATGTTAAAGACCAACTCCAACGATGATGATTTTTCTCATCTTGAATCCTATTCAGAAAAACCAAGTCTAATAAAACTGGCACATATCAAGATCTCCCTTGCAACACACGTTTTTGTGGTAATAAAACACAGTTTTTGTACCTATTTTTCCTGGGAGTCCAGTCTGCAGTTGTATAAATGGACGTGTCATCACGACTCATTAGCATCTAATGAATATTGATTTCTGTGATGTATTACTGTGGAGAGGAAATACCACAGTAAGTGTGCCATATGCATCCATAGCATGCATGGCTGCGGAAGACAGCCCGAACTTGAAGAATGCTCTCATTCTTCAGAAACTTGAAGAATTTCAATCCCGGTTCTTTGGCAGAATTTTTAGTACGCCCACCAAGATGCACAATTTTGGCATTACTGTAAGTCATGAAGAGAGGAGCACAAACTTTCGACCGAAAAGAGGTAATGTGGCACAGTCGAACCTGCACACAGATTGATCCCTGACATGTGGTGCACGCTCATTTTCATGTACGTTCATAGTGCAACCAGTCGTGCCACGGATACCAGTTTCAATGTTTTCTCTGGTATTACATCATACAAATTTCGTTTCTCAACAGCTCCACCAGCGGTCAGATTGTGGAAATTTTTCATAAAGCTCAAAGACAACGTTCAAAAGTTTCGGCAAAATTACAAAAAATACAGATGAAATACAGACATGATTTGGTAATTAATATGTGATTTATTAAACACTTGACACAATAAGAGTTTATTTTCAAAACTTTTAAAACAGTTGGAGTTGGTCTTTAAGGATATGTGATGACAGTTAAGTGGATGCACTGGCACGTGCACACATACCAGTGCATGTACATGTACATGTAAATAAATAACACCCATGAACAACTTTTGAAGGGTCAAGAATTCATGCAAATGTGCATTTGCAAGAACTAAAGATCACAATTAATCAATAAGAGCTGCTACATACAAGCTGCTGGTACCATGCACGCATATACACAACTGAGGGGTCCAAAAGTGTTGACATTTTTGGGTTCCTGTTACACGTTAACTAACAAAGGTCAGATGTAAATATTACTGGAATTGATTTCAACCTACGTGTATTACTATTAGTTTGGCAGGTGGTTTGTATTAATTCGTCACTCTGGAAATTAGAGAATGTGTTCTGAACTTTAAAAATCACATGTCAGATGTGACAGGGACACGAAAAAAAAAGACCCCTAATTTCTGGAATGTACATTGTATGTATCTGACATGTACAAACTGATGCACAAACGGAATATACACCCATACATGTAAGCTAGCTAGGCTACGCTATGTACATGTACAGTGCCTAGACCGTACAATAAGTTGTTGGAATCATTTATGATGTCGACTAGAGTCAAATACGCCCGACTATACAGTAAAAACACTTACCACGATGTTGAAACTTGGTATATGTATTCACATTAAATTTCATAGAAAATGTGACGGGTGTGTTAAAGGCCACATAAAAACGCTGTACATGTAAGCAGCTGGCAGAAAGCTAAATTTAAATTGTTCTAACAATTTTGCACAAAGCAGATGTACAAAAAAGGTGAAATTTAGATTAAAAAATCTGGGCCCCAAACCCCTGAAATCAGCTGAAAGCTGAATTCGATCCCCAATAAGAGAAGCTGGCTTGATTTTGTGCAGCACCTGAAAGGTTTAGTCTGTGGATGCCTTTGTGCTTAAACTCTTTATTTCCAAAACCTCTTACAGGGTACGTGCATCTTGTCACCAGGACTGATTTGACAGATTTAGGTTTGAGCCCTCACACTGATCACCCACTCAGCCCCGCCAACAACATCTGCCACGACTTTTTTCCCTTTAATAATGACTCCCCCAGCAAACATTTCTGCATCACGCTTATCTTTCTGGCATTTTCATCAGCAAAGCTTCCGAGATGCTGCGCCGTGGGTTTCTAATCACACTTGTACTTGTGACCAGAAGCACCACATGCCATCAAAAGCCCCTTTTATGAGCCGCGAAACTATCCTGGGGGGAGAACTTAACACCCAAAACTCCAATCGTCTCCCAAGGCGAAGTAAGCACACCAAGCCGTTTAACATATCATGCCGTCAATGCCACTTAGAGGAGTAAGCTTACATACAAGCTAAACCTTCAGTGCTGTACTCAGGCATGAGACATTGCAGGAAAAGCACATACTGGGCATGTACATGTACAGTACTGGTACAATTGTACCTGCACTGTACAGATGCTAAGCCATACCGGTGCTTTGGCCTTACCGGTACCTTCTAAACAATATTTCCCCAAAGCTGACTGCTTCATTTGGGATTAATAATTACAGGACAAGCCGTGTCAGCAAGAATTAATGACCAATTAAAGTGAAAAGTCGCTGCCAATATGTGCCAGCCGACCTGTCATCCATGGCAAATTTGACAGGGCCTTCTTGCCCAGGGAAGCCAAGGCAGAGGGGAGAGATTGATTGCATGTCTGGATGGTGTGTAGTCACTGACATACACTGTGGTGGGTTTCATATTACACATGATGTCTCTTACCTGTGTGGTATGTCTGCTGAATGAGAGTGACATGCACGCTCTGTACACTGCACGTATTTACGCACACATCATGGGTGTTTAGTCAGCATCTACATGTAGCAAATGCGTAATCAGGCACAGATCCCGGACGCTTTTGAAAGTGGGTGGGGCTGAGCAAAAATGAAATGGGTTGCCCCCCATGACTACCTACCGGTACATGTATTTTTGTCAAATTTTTCGGGGCATGTCTCTTCCACTCCCACGTACCGGTACATGTGTGGTTCATGTGCTGAACATGTAATGGCACATGTGTGGTTTATGTGCTGAACATGTACCGACACTTGTGTGGTTCATGTGCTGAACATGTACCGGCACATGTGTGGTTCATGTGCTGAACATGTACCGGCACATGTGTGGTTCATGTGCTGAACATGTAATGGCACATGTGTGGTTCATGTGCTGAACATGTACCGGCACATGTGTGGTTCATGTGCTGAACATGTACCGGCACATGTGTGGTTCATGTGCTAAACATGTACTGGCACATGTGCGGTTCATGTGCTGAACATGTACCAGTACATGTGCGGTTCATGTGTTTTTAACAAATCCTTGATTTGAAAATGAACGTTTGGCTTGGAGCACCATAATAAAGTTTTAAAAATAGTCTCAAAGTATCGGTACACATGTAAACTACAAGTGCACGTACACGCACATGTAAATAAAAACATATTGTACATGTACATGTATGTTACTTTCTATTCCAAATACAAATACCAGTTACTGCTCACCAGTCATACATTTTTTTCTGTACTCTGCACAAACAAGTCATGAACAGTCGTTCACAATGAAAGAAGTCATGAAAATCCTTTCCCAGAATTTCAAATTCAGCTTGACACTACCTGATACTTGTAGTGTCAAGTCATCCATTACCAGGGAAAAAAAAATTAGTAATACACAAGAGACTGACGACCAGTCTAGACTTAACTGGAATCCTTGAGCATTGGAATGCGCAGCATTTAGGCAATGGCAGCTATGCACAGAGGAGAAGTGTGATTGAATAATGTCACACTTGTGCACTGGCCCAGCCTCCTCATTTGTTAATCTCAGGACAGTCTGACAGGCATGGGAAAAGGTCAACAAGGTGTAGATATGTCTGGTAAATTCATCACCATTTGGTAAATAATCAAAACATGTGATGAGTCTAGGGTTGCGATTATTCTATCACCACATGCATGTACAGTACCTATGTGTGGAAAATCATCATTTTCAATATTTTTTGCAGGAGAGATTTACCGTACGTCACGGGGAATATGTACATGTAGTATATACATGTATTTTCCACAACAGATACAATTATCAGCTTGTCATCATGCTAATTAGGCCTATTCGTAGAATATACATGTACATGTACGCCGTAACTTCCAGAATGGTTTCCTGGAAGGCACCAATTTTAAAACTGTTGAATAAGACAGCAATTCCAAATAATTGGTACTGGTACATGTACATCACAAGCCGTTGTACGTTCATGTACAATGTAAGTGCATGTACCGGTAAATGCATTTAAAACACAAACTCTCATTCTGTCTTGCTAGTTTAATGTATGTACTGACAATGTCACGATTTGTTTGCTTGTGCATATATATAGTGTCTGCTTTCTTGCAGAGCTTTGAATCCATTAAATGTGACTAGTTGCACCGGTGCCTGCAGAAAGCACACACGTAGAAGTGTGATGTCAGCAAAACACAAGCCAATGCAAATTTCAAATTCCAACTTACCAGGTTTCATCATTCTCAAACTCCAACTCTCCTTCCACATCAATGTAATCAACGCCATTTCCCTTGGCTGTGCCCTCGATAGTACGGTATGGTATACGCACAGTGCCCCGTGCCCCGGCTGACCTGACAACCTTGAGCTGCGCAGTACCAACTGACTCTGACGCCTTGACCTCCTTCTCTTCAAACTGGAATATCCCGGCGTGATCGTCGTCCAGGATAGTTATCGTGGCAACGTAGGGCTCCACCAGTTTGGCCTGAGGTTCTTCCTGGTTGCTATGGAACATACCATCTGGCCCACCGACCCGAACGTTGCTTAGCCGGACAATGAAGTGCTCATCTTCCTCAAAGATGTCATCGTCGATGATGGTCAGGGAGATGTCCTTCTGCGTATCCCCTGGCTTGAAGATGAGGGTGCCTTCAGCGTAATGGTAGTCAGAGCCAGCATTGGCAGTGGCATCTTCCGTGCGGTAGTCAACATAGATGGTGCTTGTCATATTGCCACCTTGTCGTGTGACGGTGATGTTGAAGCTGCCTACATTCTCCATGACAGTGTACTGTGCCGGCTCAAAGAAAATGTGGGCAAAGGAGTCCTCCTGGGGGACCTCGATCTTGACCTCGGCGATGCTGGCTCGGTTCTTCTCCAGCGTCTTCTTAAGGATGTTGCCGGCCCCGCACAGCCTGCGCGTGGCCTGGATGCGGTAGAAGGCCCTGCTCTTTTGCTGTTGGTTCAGGGCTTCATAATTAGCCATCTGCTCCAGGGCCTGCAGGTCTGCATCTGGGTGCTTCGCTCGGAGCTCCCGAAGCAGTCGTACCGTCTCCTTCCGTGTCTCCTCTAGGTCCTTCACATCGCTATCCAGTGCATCCAGCATCTTCTTCCCGTGGAAATCCACGTCATGGTCGTGATTCAAGTTGAAGTGATTGGCATTGGCTTCGCCAGGAATGCCAAGCTCGACAGCACCGGCACGTAGACTTGAGTCCCGTCTGACCACTTTTTCGGCTTTGTACTTCTTCCGAAGAAAGCGGTAAAAAAAAATGCGCTTATCAGCCACATACGCCCACAACACAGTCAGGGGAAACATCATGAGCGTCACTATGGCCTCCCAGAGATCAATCACACCTGGGGTTATCCATTCTAAAATCAAATACAACCAAATGTAAGCAAACAAACTGACAGATGCTGTCACCATGAAGACTCGCAGATGCTTGATTCGCCGAACCTCCCCATTTGGAATGACGCTCACGCAAACAGCAATGATCACAAAAAGATTGAAGGCAGCACTGCCCACAATAGTACTGGGTCCCAGTCTCCCCGCTTGAAATTTATTTCCACATACTTCAATGATGGACAGCAGAATCTCTGGAGCTGAGGACCCAAGAGCCATCAGAGTCAGGTTGGACACGGTCTCGTTCCAGATTCTCACGCTGACCGTCAGCACTTCACCGTTTGGTCTCTTGACAGTCACCTCTCGTTCCTTGGACGTGATCACCTCAATGGCTGACATGAAGCGATCGGCGATAATGGAAACGCCTAGGAACATGAAGCATAATGCTGCAAAGTACACAATGGCCCGTGCAATCTTGTCTCCTAGTCCAGGGTCTTCAGGCTGCCATATTGGCAGAATGAGCCCCTTCCTGCATTTCGTGTCTGACTCCGGAGTGGTGGCAAGGGAGGTGGCGCTGGTCGTAGCATTGGTGTACGTAAGTGCAGCTTCAGTTTGCTCTAATGTCTCACCAACTTGCATCAGAACAACCATCAGTAGAGTTGGGACTACTGGCCCTCCCTTGGACTGGGCCATCACTCTGGACAGTAACTCCAGCACAACCATGTCTGTTGGTCGCTCTGGCTATCTGTCTCAACCTGGATATATCTACTGAAATGCACAGTCAAACCTGCCGGCTACAGTCTGAGTTTTGTCACAGCACACAGTCAACCCGGGCACTCATGCTGGCAATGGTATCATGTGGCTAATGATATTGCACTTCTGTAACTCTGTCAACAGTTCTGTGCACTTCTCTAGAGTTTGCCTCAATGCACTGCTCTAACACTCCGCAGACGTGTTGAGATGGTGCCATGTTATTACGGCATCGATTACTAGAAAATGACTTTCTTTTGCTTGAGATCCAGAGCTTAAAGGCATGGTTGAGCTTCAATATATAGGAGTTCTGTTCACCGACGTGCAGCACTATAGCAAAGTACATGTACATGTACAATACTGGTGACAAGTTGTGAGGTAGCAATACTCATCTGAAATTAGAGAGACAGACACCAAACAGGATTAATACAATACTTAAGAAATCCAACGGGAGTAAACTAAAAGTCCAAAACAAATGATCCTGGTCCTGGCAACAGCGAAGTGCCGAATCAGAAATTGTTGCCGTTTCATCTTGGACAAGTTGGATGCACTAGTCCGAACAATGTTTCCAAAGGAACATTTTGGCCAAACAAGGTAACCATTGTTGGATGAACCACTTGAACCAAGGTCCAGAGGTCTCTGGTTCCACTCCCACTTATCACTTTGTCACCTTTTTTCTCTACACAATATTAATCCATAAACAATGATCAATTAGTTGTATTGCTGAATTCACTTACAGTACATGGGATATGCTGACCTGTACTACATGTACATGTACATGTATTCCTCAATACATTTTTGGCTGCCTCTGTTAATTTTTTAATTATAACCAAACCGGCATATCAAAACTTCACTGAAAGCAGGAAAAGATTCCACATGATGCACGTGTATGCATACTTTCGACATTGTAACATTGTAATCATTTTCAGGAAGTATCATTCTTTGCGAAATACGTGCATATATGTACATGTACAATGTACATGTGTATGTACATGTATTAATCAGTATTGTGTACCCTGATCATCACTGTATACTGTAACATCATTCCACCAGCCATTCAAAGAAAATTATTCTCCTGCTCTACGTGCTGTACGCGTAAATTGGTTCATCTACAAAGTACCAAGGCACATATATGTACACTCAACTGCACAGTACATGTAGATCAACTAGGATAGGTGAGAGGGACGAGGACGTACCTTATGCACGTGAGAAACATATGCACATGTACATGTGTAACAGTTGTGACTTCAACCAGCCATGTGATCGACCGGTAGCAAAAATAATGAATAATGAAACTGGTATCTGTATGTGTTATGGATACTGGTGCATGGAATGTGATGTACACATACACTTACCGTACATGTACATACAGACATGTAATGTTGAAACTTGTGCGTAATTCGTATAAATGTACTGTACATGTTTGTAAATGCAAGAAACGGCTTATAATTTCAAACTGATTTTTGTCTGTTCTTGAAATGAACACAAAATTGGTGAAACCTACAGAAAACAGCTGTTACTCAGGACACGCAAGAATTCACAGATTAACCCTAACACTCCTCAATCCTTCACCTGTTGGAGGATTTAATCTATTGAGTACAATGTTATCGGTGTCTTCTATCCTTGTTTAACTTGTGCATGTACCAGTACATGAGTAAACCTCTGAAACACTCTGTCATTCATTCACATGTGAATTAATGGCCCATTAAAAATAAAGGCTTTGAAGTACACTTCAGAATAAACCCTCATTTGGAATGGAATGTTTTTAATTGCAATGAAATACTGTAAATGTAAAATGCACCAACAAAACCAACTCTCATTCCAAACATACATGTACATGTACAGTACATGTACATGTAAAGTACACCATGTACATGTACATGTACTGTATGTTTGGATGAGAGATGTACACAGATTCATGTAACGGTACCATTGTATTTGTTAGAGCATTAAAATCTCTTGAGCCTCAATCTACATACATGTATACCGGTACCTGCATGTACTCATGAAGGATACTCCACTGATGCAGTACTGTACATGCACGTGTACACTGTACATACATGTATGTTTGTACCTCTACTGATTGATTCAAAGTGCAATGAAAAAACAAGCACATGACAACTCCGGATGTCATTTTTCAAAACTTCTAAAAGAATGACCTTGATAATGTAAAATACAAATTGCCACCTTTAGATTTATAAAAATGATTATATGGGGATGATTAGGCATAATATGTACTTATGGTGGACATTTGGTTGGCTACCGGTGCAAATCAAATGGAGTTGAATTCATTTAAAGTTTTACGTCAAAGTGTTTACACCAGAGGACTTGATTGCAAAACTTCTCTCAACAACAAAGAGAACTCAGTATATTTTTCGAATGATGTATTTTAAAGCACCTACGAAATAACCTTTAAAAAATATACACTGCAAGCCACGAAAAAAGAGCACAAAATTGACAGAAAAGTTTAGGTCTCGTCATTCTCTTACCGTTTATAATCACTCTCACTATAATAGCATACATGTACATGTCTCTGTCTGGGCTTGTACTTTTCAACCACTGAAAATTATCTTTAAGTTTGACTGCATCAAAAATTTACTTGTAATGAGCGCAATACGTTCGTTGCAAGTGTTATATTTGACAGAATTTTGATAACGTTCTAAAATGTTGACCAAAAAATGAATGACGTACCAGAATGCGAAAAACACTGTCACATGTAGTGCTTGAAAATTCCATGCGCGATGGTCATTTTGCCGCTGATTTTGGAGATATTTAAAATTTACAAATCTGGCATTGGATTTTCGTCATGAATCATATTTTATGTCTCAGACGTCATTTTTTTTTTCGAACGTCATTTTCAATGATTTTCTTTCCAGAAACCTTGGTCTAAAGAGAAAAATCCCAGAGCATCGCCACTCTGTGGTGGGGCTCATGAATATCGAACGAAAAAGAGGGCGCACTATCGAACGGCACCGTGAGAGAATGTCAAACATGTCTCCACGATCGATATTTTGGACTGCGGTTTTCGGAAACACACTTGAGAAAATGTGATCGGCCCAGTCGTAAAAGGATGATTTTTGCACTTTTTTTCAAAGCTTGTGTTGTACATCAATTTGGATTTTACTCGCTGTTTTTTGGCAGTCAATTTTTTTCACACTAATGATGACAGAATTGAATGACATTTGCGACTGCCGACTTCGGGACCCAAGTAATTGTGAGAGGTATTTTTTATTTCGTGATTATGGTTTTAATATGTGTAAATATTAAATTTTATTGCCTAGCATTTCAACAGGTTACTCACGTCCGTCAAGAATGCTGACATTCCAGACTTTAATTAACTAACTCCAAATAAGTTGAAAGATGGACACGGTCATCATTGTTTCAGATACCAGCCATGACTTCCCTCATTACATCAGACATTGGGAATTAATTCACTGCTGTTCACTTCAGGAAAAATGAACCCCCAAAGTTGAACATTACAGTAATGGTCCATATTATGAAGAACCTGCCACATGCACTAAAAGTACATACGCCCATATAAGTAGGGACGTGTACACTGTACATGTCCAGCACCCTGTATGCATGCAGTTCAATGAAGTGTTGTACAAAATGGCTTAGTGCAGTCCTGCACACATACATGTACAGTACGTGTACAGGTACACTGTACATGTACTGACTGGTACATGTGTACTGTACATGCAGTATGTGACTTCGTGAAGCTACAGGTATAAACTTACAATGCATGTAGACTCCAATGGGTATACACCATGACTTGCCGAAATCAGGTTTCTGACAACCACACACTTTGAATAAGGCAGAGAACTGTAATATCTCGGCCTTGCACACAACACACTGGTGGAGAATCCCAGTACCATATGCGATCATCTACATGTAGACACGGATCATACATAGACTCCTTGCATGAATGCACTTCACCACAACCCACCAACACCAGCATCGTCATATCATCCCCCCAGCTTCATCAGCCTCATCATCATCATCGCCACCCAAGATTCAACTGATGACATCACCGTCACCAGGGCGACAGACAGTCCCTCTCCAACCTACACGTACATGTGCACAGTACTGTGCACAGATGCTGCCTGCTGTTTCCTCGCTGTACAAGGTACATGTACAGTAGGTGGGCTGGGCTCTGTCCACTCGGTGTGTAATAACGATCCCCCAGGTCTTTTGTTTCACTCACTGCTGGCGATAGATGTGACCAATCTGCATTTGGCACAGCTATGATATCTGCATGTACACTGTACCGGTACATGCACCGGCCGTGTACATGTTGTACACACTTGAAAGATACCCACAAATATCTGAATATGCTGACAGCACAGTGTTCTACACAAATGCAATTATTTTATGAACTGCCTGTTGGTCAAGGTACACATATAGAATTTTATCCGAGTAAAAATCAGATGCACATGTGCATGCACAGTATGTGCTGTGCTAATAACTTAATCAATTTCTTGCACATGCATTGTACATGTACGAGTACATGTATTGGCAAGTTCTACCAAGAACGAGTTAACTAGTGGTTAGTTTGTGACATAGTGCGCGTGCAGCAAAGTTGAAGTGCGAATGACCCTAGTCAACCATTGTTAGGTCATAAGGCCGAATGGGAGAAAAGGTGGCCACAGAACGTACAGTACATGTAGCAAAATCTAAAGTGAAAATAGTCATGCACTAGTGACATACATGTACATGTACTGTTTTTCCGGTATTTTTCATTTCCTGGTAACTGGTCCTCTCTGCACTGTGTATTAAAAAACGGGTTATGGCAACCAACAATGCAACCAACCTCGATAGGCTGGACGTGAATGGTTGACCAGACCATTGTTGTAGCCTGGGTCAACTATCGTCGACTAAATTGAGTTCGATGAGGGTTAGTTGAACTATGGTAAACATAGGTCCTTGATCCAACTTGCTTTATAATACTATAATCTACATGTACTTCACTGACTCATACTATTACAAAGAAGATTGTACTGTAGGCTTAACATGCTTAAAGTATTCAAGTACCCTGACATGTACTGTACAGTGTAGGTGTCTTACTGCATGTACATGTACATGTACTGTACAATTACCATTTTCACACTTGCATACATGTACATACCGGTACATGTAGTTGTTAAAGTACAATGTACACGGAAGTATGTTCGTTTATTTTGAAATGATTAACTTTAAGCTAGATATACCCCGAAAGTGAAATGAAAGCAAAGGTACCGGTACACAGAGACAAAACAAGACCGAAGTTTGTACATTTAAAAAGTGGACAGTTTCCCTATTCACAACGCGCAACGTGACCATGTGTGAACATGATAATGCCCGCTGCGATTTGATAATGCCCACTGTGTGAAATGGGCTGTCACCTGGATACGAGAGAGTTTAATCGATTCCTATTGGTCAAAAGTTTGTGTGTGCCAAGTGTGCCATGGCACACAGAACTCGCCATGTCCGCAAAAAGTCCATATAAGGGGGTACATGTACACGTAAGGAAATTCCTCTGGACTACTCGTACAAGGAATATACCATAAAGTGGACAGAGGTGTTCAGGAAAATGAAAGCAAACTTCTTTAACAAAATCCTTGGAAATTCTTTTGACTCTTCGACTAAAACGGCATTCATGAATGGAAATTATTATTGCTTGGTTAAGAGCATCGGCTCAGGAGAATGGACGCGACTAATGCCCAAGCTGCATTCCTTTAGTATAACATATTTTCACTTCTGTTTAAAACAGAAAAAAATCAAGCAATAAACACTGCAGCATGTACATGTACGTAGCTCAATAAAACTCAGATTGGTATGTACATGTACATGTACGTAGCTCAATAAAAACTCAGATTGGTATCTACATGTACATGTACATAGCTCAATAAAAACTCATATTGGTATATACATGTACATGTACGGTGTACATGTACATGTACGTAGCTCAATAAAAACTCAGATTGGTATCTACATGTACATGTACGTAGCTCAATAAAAACTCACATTGGTATCTACATGTACGGTATACATGTACATGTACGTAGCTCAATAAAAACTCAGATTGGTATCTACATGTACATGTACATAGCTCAATAAAAACTCATATTGGTATCTACATGTACGGTGTACATGTACATGTACGTAGCTCAATAAAAACTCAGATTGGTATCTACATGTACATGTACATGTACATAGCTCAATAAAAACTCACATTGGTATCTACATGTACGGTGTACATGTACATGTACATAGCTCAATAAAAACTCACATTGGCATCTACATGTACGGTGTACATGTACATGTACGTAGCTCAATAAAAACTCAGATTGGTATCTCCATGTACATGTACGGTACACATGTATAGTTCGGTTACTTTCTCTAAACCTCCTTCACTTAAAATCCCACTTTATCCTCTTTCTTTATTTATAACTCTTCCATTCATTGTACATGTAATGGGTTGATGCTGGATTAATATTATATGTCTGTTTCCTCTTCAATAAATGCTCAGTTGATTGTTCCTAGCCTGGGATATTGTCAATCTCAAGGGCATCTGCCTACAGACGTCTGTATGATGTTGTGGTATGTAGCCAGTGAAAATCTTCTACATGGCATATGAATTATGCATCCAACACTGATTCCAGTCATGTTGTTCAATTTCCGGTGCTACATGTACTTGCATTTCTCATCGAGTACTGTTATTAAAAGGCAAAAAGTCTTGAAAAAGACCACATTAAGCTTTTTCGAGGGGGGGTGGATGTTTTTTCATTGCTTTTGTTTGATCTGTAATAGTTTATATTATGGTTTGCCAAATTCTCAATTGATTAGGCCAGAATGCTGCTGCCAGACTTGTTTGTAATTCATCAATTGGGACTTCTATCACTCCCACACTTCGTCAATTACATTGGCTTCCGGTACAGTTCAGGATTCGATATCTAAAATTCGTCTTTTGACCTTCAAAGCCATTCATGGCCTTGCTCCAACATACTTTGTTGCCTTGGTGCAGGTTAAAGCTCACTCTTGTTCCTCTCTGAGGTCTCATGGGAAGCTACTTTTGGAACATCCTATTGGCGAAATGCAAAACCTACTGGGGACTGTTCATTTGCACAAGCTGCAGCCCCCACACTCTGGAATCAATTGCCACTTGAAATCCAGGTTGTTCAATCTCTCTCTTTGTTTAAAACCAAATGAAGACCCATCTTTTTAGGCAAGCATTGTTATTGTAATTGTGTTTAATTTGCATAATTTTATGTAGGTTTGAGTGTATTCTTAACTTATTGTATTTTTTGATTAATTTAGTGTATATAAATGCACTATTATTATCTGTGGGCCTGTATGTTTCTTGTGACTTTGTCAAGCAAAGAAACAAATTTCACACTAAAACATGTACATGTACTGAAGCACACATATATACACTTAATGAACCACAACAAGGACAAGTGACTGAGGTGGGATTTCAACATGTACATTGTGTGTTGTACCGGTAGGTCACTCTAGAAAAAGTTACACTAATACAGGTGTAGGAGCTCTATGTACTCTACCAAATACTAGTACATTCCTACAAGTACATGTACTTCAACCTGGTAATCAAATGTGTTTTGTACAAATACACTGACTTCTAAATTGCATAAATTTGTCTGTTGTGAATTAAATTTTAAGCACCTTTTTTCATTATTTGTGATGTTCATTATGTTATGGAATCACTTCAAGATTCCACATGGTAAGCAACAACATTGAACATGTTAAAAGGTCTGCTTATTCCTTCCCCTCTTATGAGTATTCAAATATCGGAGGATTTTCAGTCACATGATTTTTGAGGGTCAATAGTCTATTTCCTCACCATTCTGGCATACCATTCATAAAATTGCAATAGAAATACACATACATGTACATGACATACCCAGATATGAAAATGCATGCATCTCCATGGACATGGCACGCTTTCTGCAGTGCCTTTTCACGTCATGTTACAGTAGGTCACACAAAAAACCTCTATGGCCCTCTTTAGTGTGATTCTTATCTCAGGACAGGGAGACATGTCCAGGCGTTGCTAGACACCCACTTTCATTTGAACAGTGATTTTTAATAAGGAAATGAAATGTGTTTGGTGGGCGTTATAAGCATTCATATGAGACTAGATCAGGAGAATGGATACTGATAACTGGATAAAGGCCTTAGCAGAGTCCCATGCATGAACAGTAACCTTTCAAGTCAGAAAGTCAACACAAGGTACAAAAATATTCTAAATTTCCTATGACTTTGTTTAACGATTTTGTGTCTTTTTTTTCAAACGCCTCCTAATTAGCCACGTTACACTGCATTATCGGTACATCTATAGCGCCGCTCATGAGTCATGTGAGTAGTCATAGACAATCTCTTTACCGCACAGTAAGGAGATTGGCCCACACATGTACAGCATGAGTGAGGTGGTGTAAAACGTGATAACTCAGTGCAGTGTGAATTTAGGACTCCCAGAACGCAGACTCGTTGTTACATGTACCAGCACACTTACATGTACAAAATTATATATGGGACCGGTACTGTCACTATTGTGAATTACAACAAGGGAAAATGGACCACATAAGGAGTCTATAAATTTCATGTGACACCAGAAAAACACTTAAGATCAGCAGCTACCGGTAGTGTTTTATCAACTGTGATGGGCTGTCAATCAACAGGAATGGCTAAACTGTCTTACATGGTAAAGTACATGTATACGTACACTTACCATATTATGTACATGTATGAATGACTGGTTTCAACAAAAATGTGAACTGCATACATGTACAGTATATGTACATGTACGTACCGGTACCATACATGGTAATTTCTCAAAGATTGTCACGCATGACACAGTTCTAAACTGCATTTGCCATATTTTACATCCTTCTCGTTCTTTTCAGTGTGGTTGTTTTTCCATTACCATGGTAACAGAATGACAGGACTTTAATTACATGTACCAGTACATCTACGGTAACCGTGATGCGCCAAGTGAAGGATATTCCAGCGAGACAATGCACCATACTGTAGGCCAACCAAAATTTGCCTGGCATCACAATCATCACATATCAATTGGAAGCATCAATGAATAAAAGCAACAATGTATAATTTTCCATACAATCTGACATGCTTTGCATCCTCAGAGTCATTCTGAAAATTCTCCTCTCCATCTTATAAAATCTGCTAAATGCTTCCACAGGCATTTCCCATTTCCCCATCAAAAATTCGTCTGCGCAACTTTGGGTCTAGCATGTCTAATGTGCTTGTACGTGTCACAATCCTATGTTGCTCAAACTGCCACATATGGGGGGAGGGAGTACAGTACATGTACCGTATGTACAACGTACTTGCACAGGTATGATACCACTAGCCTACCAACAAGGTTGGTAGGGTTTTACTTTCGCCTTCCTGCGCAATTACCCATCTGGTCTAGATGATTAATTAAC